TCTCAAAACGTACCCTTTCTCCTGACAAGCCTGTACTGCTCCAAAGGGCAAAGCTCATGTCTCAGGCAGGGGTTCTCGATGCACACTTTTTCACCTGCCTGACTTCTCTTCACTACAGGTCAGACCCAGATAGATTTGAGGGTGTTTGTCCGCAGGCCATATAAAGCTGGCCCCTACAACTGGGCCAGGTAACAAACCCATACAGCAGCCCCACTGCCCAACCTGCATGCAAATGGTGCTGGGAGCACCCATTGCACAAGGGTTTTCAGGAGTGCTGGCCATCCACATCCCTGGCAGAAACCAGCTGGAGGAAGCTTGGAAAGCCCGGCCTTTTTATTCTCCAGGATTAAGACTTTGATTAGCTGCTGGCGCAAGACCAAAACTCCATCTGAAATGCTTTAGACGACCCATCTGCACTGGGTTTGGGAGTCTGAGGAGTGCATGCTGTGGCCCGCTCCTCACCCATGCCAGGCAAAAACAATGGGGAAATCAGGGGGTGAGGATCTGAGTGGGAAGGAGCACCCCGGCCCCAGGCTCTCTATCGGGGCAATGGGAGCACTCACCTCCACACACACACATCTCATGCAGACCCTCCAGGCTGCCCCAGGCCTGCACGTCTGCAGCCCATGGGCCTGGCCCAGGGGTCCCTGCCGGCTGTGGAGGTCGCAGGCTGTGCCCTGGCATCCCTGTGCCTGGGGGAGCCGGGGCTCTGCTCCTCCCACACCCAGCCATGGCTGGGGGCCCTTCACTCCCCTCTCCCTCCCAGACCCTCGTGGTCCTTCATGAGCACCTCATGATAAATTCCTACCAACACTGAAATACTCAGAGCAAGTTAGCCGAGATTCATTAGAATAAAACATCTAGTAGGCATATGTACTTTATTAGCCTCTTACACCAATAGTTTTAATTAGGTACATATTTCACAGCTCTGGAGCTGCTCAAGTGAAGGGCTGCTTTTATCTCTTTTATTTACAGTAACAAGCTATCAAACAAATACCCCCATAATTAAACTCAGATGCAAAAAAAAAAAAAAACCAAAAAACAAAAAACAACAAACCACAAACAAAGAAAAATTTAATTTTTACCAATGGTGACCTGCTCAAGTTTGGGTTTGGTAAGCTTTAGATTTTTAATTGATGAAGGAAATATTCTGCAGCAGGGCAGGGCGCTGGGGCGGGTGTCCCTAGCCCGGCCCTGCCTCCCTGTCACCTTCAGGTGAGGAGGAGAGCACTGCTTCGGATAGAGACCGCCGGGATGAGAAAAGTGATTAAAATCCAGAACGCTGCTAAATTATTAATGAGGAATTTAAATGATGTTATAAAAGAGGGAAATACAGGCGAAAAATGTTACACATTCATGGAATTTTTACTCATGCATAATAATAAGCTGAAAACACTTTAGTTATAATGCTTCCGAAATTAAAGGGCGGGGGGTGGGGGCTGGCAGGATGCGTTTCTCGGGCCCGCCCGCCCTCCCGCCACTCGGCGATCAAAAGGGCGCGCACCTGGCGGGCGCTGCGGCGAACGGGCCTGGCGCGGGGCCGCTGCCGGCGGGCGGCGGGAGCCGCCATGGGCCGTGAGGGCCCGCGGGGCTCGGGGGGCTCTGCCCCGCTCCGGGGCCTGGGGCCGCCGCACGGGGCAGCGGACGTGGCTGCGCCAGCCCCACTGACGGGCGTCACTCCCGTGGCCGCACCCTGCGTTATTTGCTTTCTCACCTGCAGCGCAGACAGGTTTTAACTTCGCAGGTGTTGGCAGAGCCCGCTTGCTTGGCGAGAGCAGCTTAGCTGCATGCGCTCAGCCGCCTAGTCTGCCTCTAGGGATAATGCTGCCTATGCTGTAAATAAAATATATACATATAATGTTGCAGGGGATAGCCATGTGAGAAGAGCCTCTTTCTGCCCCCTGCACACGTGGAGCCCACCCTGCTCCTGAGCAGTGGAGCGGCTGCCTGGGGGTCTGTGTGCTCCTGTCCAAAACCCCACCACACTGCCTCTTAGGGAGTAACAGCAGCACTTGGGACCCGGAGAATAAACGGTTTCCCCAGGTCAAAGCTGCAAGTGGCATGTACCCTACAGAGCCACATTTTTGTCTAAATGTCTACACAGTCTTTTCTGTAAAGACTTCCCACACTGTCTCTCCAGACTCCATACAGAAGTTCTGTTTGTCTCCTCTGAAGTCACACAACACTTGAGGGTCTCATCTTTAAAGACCTATTTAAGGCGTTACACAATCAGGCAGGCATTTGTATCATCTACCACAAGTTCCACTTACCATTTTCCTCTTCCATGGCAGGGGAAGAAACCTGCAAGCCCATAAAACTGGAATACAGCCTTAGCCACAAAATCTCTCAGACTTGCATATCCCTCTGGCTGAATTCCTTGGGGACATCCTGTACTTCCAGGTGCCTTTCAGTCCGACCAAGCTGGTTTTGGTAGCTCTGCAAAGCAGAGAGCCATCAGCTGATTATAGTGGCAGCAAATAAGGCAAGAACAATCCCAGGCCATTCTGGGCTGTAAAGTCTATACAAATGCTGGAAGTCCTGCTGAATGCTAACTGGCAGCTAGCACCAATTACTGAGTAATGGGCTCTCCACATGCCCCTTTACTTAATAAGTAGACAAGGTCTGCACTCACTTTTGGAGCTCAGTTGTCTCTGGTTGTAACACCAACTGAATGCTTTGCAGAGGGCCAGTCTCACAGTGACTAAAGCTCAGATCGTTATAGCAAAGTCTCAACGAAAAGAAACTGCCACGCTCTTCCCAATTGGACCGGATGAAATAAAGGCTCTTGGACACAGTTCCTACCTAGGAGCCTGCCAGAGCCTAATAATTGCAACATGCTGTGATTCTAAAACAAATGTGTCATGGAGAGATACCCACACTAATTCCAAAGGAGGTAAATTTGCCTGGGCGAAACTCTTAGCACAGTGTTGTTTCTTCCACGGTTCCAACTGATTCTGGTCCCTTTCTCTGTGTCACTGCCCAGAGTACATTCACTATTGTGAACCATGGATGGCAGCCGTGGTCCCTCTGGGCAAAGCAGTGACATTCAGATCAGAAACAAAAATTTGTCCTTTCTTTTCTCCTTTGCTTCCTGTGAAATCTTCATTGACCATATTCTCATTATTCCTTTGCCTGGACAACACTACCTAAAATTTTTCTGAATTTTGGGCACTATGGTTCCTCCACATTTTGTGTTGCAGGAGAACTGATTCTCTGTCTTTAGCTAGATGGAGATGCAAACCAGGTTTCACTGAATACTCAAGTGCCACATTTTCTCCCTAGATTTTCAAAGGAATATGCCGACGAGAAGATAACAGAGAAAATCCCTGTGAAATCATGGTGTAAAAAGAAGTTACTGCTAAATAATCCCAAAGCATCTGAGATAGTTTCCACAAAGTAAGCAGCATGGACTCCTAGAACACAGTTCCTATCCTTACTAGGAATGTCACACCATTACTTTCACAGCTAATGCCACGAAATTCTGCTGAAATGTTCAAAGGAACTTTGGTAGGTTTATTTTTCTCTTTGGGAAATGAAAGTTATCAATAAAGGCCTCATAAAAAGTAAGAAACTTTGACAACCTTGATTCTCTGCAGGCAGCAATTACATGCAAAATGTTGCCCCCAGTTTATATCCTTTAGCTGTTTTACATTTTTGACACTGGGAGGAGGGCATTTGTAGTCAAGTAGTTAGCATCAGATTATTGTTTAATGAAACCAGCTGCATGAGTGCAATGCCATGACTGAGACCTTTTTATGTGTAAGCGAGTTGGTGAATGCACAACCATGGTTTCTGCAGCAGCCACGATTTGCACCCCATGTGTTATGGACTATCTGACAGTATTATAGACAGGGAACCATCTCTCTGTGTGCCAGAAGAGAGAAACCAGTCACTGTACTGAAGGCCAACTGAAGTTTTAGGTGCCTCAAAAGACACATTAGATTCCAACTTTGTGGATTTATTACCACACATTAAACTGATGTGGCCATTTTTATCTGAAATTAGTTTCTTCCTAATTTTTTATATACTTGTGCAACAAAGAGAAGTAATGATGACTGCTTCATACACCTTCCCCATCACATATTTTAGTTCTATGCCATGACTTCCTGTTAAATGTAGTTACCAGGATGGAATTTTCTTCAGTTTTAGTTCTAAAGTGCATGTGGGAGGTGGAAAGAGAACCCACTGACTGCACTAGCTCATTGTGCGAACCAGGCAGTAAATACAGATGTGGAACTCCATATTCATGCCTCAGCATGGGTATCTCTTCAGTGTCGCACCTGCAGGTATTTATATGATCACACTGAAATAAATGCAATGTGTGTGGGTGTGTAGAGCTGCACCTGTACATATAATGAGACATTCAAAGAAATACACTAAGTTTTGTTGCCATCCCACTTGACAACGTTCTTGTCCAGTTTGTCCTGCATGTTCTGTAGCCTTATTCCTGCTTCTGAATCTTTCTCTGGTTTGGGCTGGACTGCCCTATGTACCCATCTGCCTCTCTTATCCCAGGGAAAAAACCCTCTTACTTTGCCACTTCCTCACTGCTTTCATTCAAAAGACCAAATCTTGTGAACCATTTGCCTGCCCAATTTCTGCTGAGCTTGAAGTAGCTGGAACTGAAACTGGGCACAGAAGGCAGTTTCCACACCCTTTGGGTCTGCTTATTTGCCTGCTTCATAAAGATCATGTGGGCTTTCCCTGTAAGGCAGCTATTGACTGGCAAGTCTTGCTCTGGCACAGAAGTATTACACATCCTGGGATTGGTTTTGAGAGCCCTCTTTCAGCCAGTGAAAGGACATAAACCTAAAACCTCATGGGTTTTGTGCAGTGTAGAGCCTAGTATTTAGTATATTAAAAATACTGTTACATCAAAGAGCACAAGGAACACAGACATTCTTCTCCCCAATTTTCAGAGGAGGAAACTGAGCCAAGATATCTGAGTAAATTGCCCAAGAAGCATCAATTAGGCTAAATCTTGGAACATCCCTTCTTACCTGGAATCTCAAGCTGTGAAGTAATTTAAAGCTCCTTAAGACTGAACAAGTGCCTGCCAGAATGGTTTGACATTTTATCATCAGTGGTAACTTAGACTACAAGAGAAAACATGAAGAAAATGAAATTACTATTGCTATGCAAAAGTTCTGAAACCACTGGACAGTGACTTAGAAACATTTGGACTTCATTCTACTCCAGCATAAAGAAATGAAGTCTGGGTATCTGTAGAGATTTTAAGAAAATGGGAATAATAAGAAATATAAGTTACTCCTTAACACTTCACAAACAGACTCAGCATTCCTTAATGGCTAGTGTAGGAAAAAGTACTGCCTAGTCTCTAGACCAAGGGACTGTGAGTAAAAGGAACAAATTCCACTCTGATTTTTTTCTCATAACTGGCTAAATCAATCAATCAATCAATCAATCAATCAATCAATCATTCCATGCCTTAGTTAACACATTTGTATCACAGATAACATCTCAAAATATTTCCTTTTACCAAAGGAGAGGTCCCCTCTTTGCCCAGTCACGGATTCTGTTTCCGCTTCCCACGAATCCCATGGATGCTTTGGCAAAAAAGAGATTTGTTTTATGACATTTGACCTTGAGGTTAGCTCAGTTGGTTAGAGCATGACTTCAAGGTTGTGGGTTTGATCCCTGTATGAACCATTCAAAGAGCAGGACTCAAAGATCCTTGTGGGTCCCTTCCAACTCAGAATATTCTGTGATCATCTGTGATTTACTGTGTTTGTTTTGCTGACATCACAGAGTCAATGAGAACAAGTATTTATACTTCTATTATGCCTTCATTGAACTGAACAAGGTGTTCAACAGGACATTTTAATTATAATCCCACTTCTAACAGCATGAGTAAAGGTGTTTAAAAAACACAATCAAGCATGAAATAGAACAGTAAACATGCCATTTCAATTACAAAATTATGTATAAGCACATCCTTGCACAGCAAAACATTTGAAGACTGCAAGAGATGCTGAAATCCTCACTGAAACCCTGAGAGGTTTTGTGCATAGCATTGAAGGAGCCAAAATGCTCTTTCCTCACACTCTTTTGTGCACTTATGCTGAATTTTTGACTCCAGAGAGAAACTTATGAAGTCCCAAATTGACAGTTTTTGCGCAGATTTCCATGGAGAAAAAGTAGCCTTGAGCCTTTTTTTTTTTTTGCATTGCAGTGTAACATCAGATGCTTATTCTGTTTGCAGAGCTCTTTTTCACTTCCCAGCCTGACAGTGCTGAAATTGAAAAGCAAATCATAGAATCATAGAATATGCTGAATTGGAACGGATCCATGAGAATCATTGTGTCCAACTATTTTCTACACAGGACACCCCAAGAATCGCACCATGTGGTGCCTGAGAGCGTTGTCCGAACGCTTCTTGAACTCAGACAGGCTTGGTTCAATGTCCTGGCAGATCCTTGTATTGTTATCCAGCCCACCTACCTGTACCAGTAAAGTACTCTCCAGCAGGAATGTAACAGCGAAAATACTGTTCTATGTTTATGGACACATACAGATCCACCAGAAACACCTGGACATCTGTGGCCCCTCTGGGCACAGCAGGATAGTGGGCTGCCCTGTAAAGTGCTACAATTCCCCCAGGCTGCCAGGAGGGAGAATTTCATGTCTCACTCAACACTGCTATACTGTGCACTTGACCAAGTCCCTGGTTCAGGGAACTGATGCAATACATTGTCTTACAGTGGACATTCGGGGAACTTCCAAAGCTGCACCCTAGAAAGAGCAGGGAAGCTGCCTTCCTGTTGTGAAGACACTCAATCCAGGATCTTTGAGTAAATGATGTCTCAGTTTGGCAAAGTCTACCCTCTCTCTCTCTCCAGTGAATCAACACACACTGCTTAGAAGAATACAACCAGGTTGTCACAGAAGCCTGACAGTTGTGACAGGCTGCTGGAATTCAGGTCTTTACAGCGTTGTAAGCAAAAGGGAACATTGGTGCTTCCAATGATTAGGGCTGGTGCTAGGACAGGGAGGCCTGTTCTGTCCATGTGGAGGCAAGCACGCAGGGAAAGGGCTGCTGAGGTGGGTAGCTGATGGTCAGGGGCAGATTTGCCAGCTTTCTGCAACTGGATGAGAATGTGGTCATCGCTAGGTGGGACTTTCCCCTGTTGTTCAGGCAAACTCCTCTCTCCAAACTAGCAGCAAAATGCCCTCCTGCTTCTCCAGCACTCTGGAAACACAGATGAAGCCACAATCGCTTTGCTGCCCTAAATAGTTGCCTGCTTGGCCAACGTGTAGAGCCAGCTCTGATGGCACCTATCAGAAAGACCCAGGCACAGTGCTGTCCAAACCTGTTCTGCACAACATACCACTGTGCACTCCAGGAGCAGCTGGCAATGCGGTGAATATTCATACTAAAGCATGGCCAAACTACCCCAGCCTATCCTCTGCAGTTTTTCCACACAGCCTCAGTGAGGAGAAAATTGGAACAACTTGCCTTTCTGCCATGCAGATTAGTCTTGAACCAATGCTGTATGCATTAAGCTCCTAAAGACATCTGGAAATCATAATGTGAAATCTGGTGCTATCTCATGATCTGGACTATTATCTTTTCCACAAACTGTACTATTCTGTTTAATAGACTATGTTATTGTCCATGGTATTGAGTTGTCTTCTAGAAAATCTGACCTGGAAATTACTCTGTTATTGTGATTTGAAATTATTAACTTTCTCAAGAATGTTATGGTCATGATGAACCTTAGATGAACCTGTAAATACAGTGGATAATTAGGTAAGGTATATAAGAATCAATATTTAATAATCTGCCAAACATATACGTAAAAGCATTTAATTGACAGGAAACTACAGGGGCATCTGTAGGTATTTAATAGCACAGACAGCATTAAAAGTTTGACTGCCATCCCGTTTTTGAAATACAATTTGTTATTCTTTCACTAGCCTTTCAGAGCCGAAGGCCGTTTCTGGAAGAACCTGTCTTTCTCAAAATGCCAGAGCGCCTCATTAGTGGAAGCCTCGGTGAGCTTGTAGATAGCTGGCAGAGGTGTTTTGTTGTGCTTGTTTCCACTTCATTTTTCCCTGCTATTATATGAGTAAGTAGAAGTAAAAGCATAGTTTTCATTGCCTTTAATGAGAGCAGAATCTGCTTTTACTTCATAGCTATTTTCTGTTCTTCTCCTGGCACTACACAGAAATGCATGTGAGGTGAGATGCAGTGGTGAGGTGACCTGGCGGTGAGGGTTCCAAAAGCCAACGCTAAATGCAGATAACATGGTTTTCTACAAGTTATGCACATTTATGGGCCCTGACAGAAATTTAAGAGAAACCCTATATGGAGAAGTCATTAACAGATTCAAATTTAGGAAATACAGGAAAATTTAAGGCTCACATTTAATGTCTCTCTACTTAAAGCAAATCAGCAAATGGGGCAAGGCTGTGAAGTTCATTAATACCATAAGAAATGAACATGAGACCTACCTGATTCCTGCAGCTTCTCCTTGAATGTACCAGTTTTGTTAGAGGAAAGTTCTGTTGCTTTTTTGGTCTTTCAGAACTGCTAGAGCCAGTTCAGGTCCTCCCCAGCTTCTGGATAAATTAGGTTCCAACCTCTACATTTGAACAGATGAATGGAAGGTTTTACACCACTTTCTCACCACCAGATATAATTCAGAGCATAATTATAAATTTGGGTCATAAGTTTGTCCTGAGTAGTTATGAAAGGTAACAATGCATGGTAAGTAAAACATCTCATCAGTGAAGAGAACATAATTTTCAGGGTCAGTTTTAGAAAGCCATATGTTTTTATCTATACACTCAACACAGAAACAAGCATAGAGCTTGGCATTTGAAAGGTCAGATTTCAAACTGAAGCCATTGTTCAAACATCTTCCTCTGCAATGTGAAGCAGAAACAGCTTAGGTGAAGCAATCTAAGTCTTCCCCGCTCCCTATCTGGCTCTCTTGTGCACAAGGAAGCTTGATTCTAGAGCAGTCTTAGGGCTGGTCTACCAGTAGGTGTTTGTTTCTCTTCCCCAGGCACCAGCATGCCCAGGGGATGAAACCTGTGCAGGATGACTTCCTGACCACAGCCGATGGGCATGGCCTCTGCAGCCACCAGCCGGGACACGGGGCGCTGCTTCAGGGCTGGGCACCTGGAGCACCACGCAGATGGGGAGGGGTGGAGAGTGGTGACACCAGCTCATCAGCAGGCCCAAGGCTTGTCAAGACCCTGTGGGCACAAAGGCAAAGGAGAGTGGAAAGGAGTTAGCTGAGAGATGATACAACTGCTTTGCAGGGCACAGCCACAATGGGAGCTGTAATCACAGAGGAAACAGTGTCTGTCTGAAACACTATTTCTGCTTTTTTTGGGTAAATATAGGAACTATGACTTCATGTCTCACACTTCCAGAGACGTACTCTCAGGCTTGTTTTCTTCCTTATCAGGGCTCTAAGAAATCCAAAACGTGTCTCTTTATTTCAGTTCTGGCTGGAGGTTAATCTCTAGAAACAAGTAATGTAACATTTCCATCTATCTTTTCTACTCTTTTGGCGGTTTTAATTATACTAATATGCTATGACAATTTAAACAAGACACATCTCAGCTTCTGGCCTGCTCTGTAATGGTTCAGCTGCTACATGTGCTCCAGCATATTTTGCTCAGACAGGCTGCTGCTGGAGGCAAGGGGAAGGCAGAATAGTGCCCTTCTGTCATGAGAGGTTTCATTGCACTGATCATTGTATGTTTGACAGATTCTTTGTCAATGTCAAGTGTCTTTTGTGGTTAAGCCCAGTAAAGCTAAAACAAAAGGTCTCCTAGATATTAGATATATAGTGACATTACTGAATTCACTTGGAGGCAGTAATTTTTTGTCAGCCTATGAAAAGAAAAATGGAGCTAATGGGAAAACAAAAGGAAGATGCTGGCATGCCTTTTTAGCTATTTTTGTTTATGTCAGACATTGTGATTGACATCTGGCCCAGAACACCCCTTCTACCATTGAGCCTGGTGTCATGAAACAGAACAAAGAGAAATTGCCAGCCAAGAAAACACTACTGGCTCAGAAAGCACTGCTTTTTGTTTATTTTCTTTTAAGTGTTTCATTTTCAGTAATCAGTATTGTTACACAAAAGTAGTTCACTCACATGCACCCTCCACTTACTAATTGGACTTTTAAGTTTCCTTGTGTTTGCTTTCTTCCTGCTTGCTTGAATGGCACCAGAGTGCTGGTTTGGTTGGATGACAGTCTGTCATAACAGTGATGTTTGAGGTTAGTGAAAACTGACGTGAAAAATACAATCCACTGGCCTTTAACCGAAATAGCAGCTCTGGTTTTTGTGGAGTTGGCAGGCAGCATTTTTAAACCCCTTTCATGGTGAAGGCAGTTACAACATGTTTCCCTCTGTATCAAGCAGTTCCATCATGAAGTACATTATCTACATCTGTTGTCATATCAGGATATTGCCTCTGAAGAGCAGTTTGCTGTTTCTTATGTGGGCACTGCTCTTTTGAAGTGTCCTGAAAGTGTTAAGGGAATTTCGTGGTCAGTCTCCAGGACCAAACCAAATACAAAGCTTTAAAATTTACTGAAGAGTGATTTTAGGGAAATAACAGACTAGAATAGGTCCCACAGACACCCAACACTAAGAAGTCTTTGTCACCACTGTTCTGCAAGCACTGTAAAATTTCAGAGACTTGGTCAAAATTATGTATCAGTAGGATGAAATTATTCCTTAAAATTCTAACTTCATCCTGAAAGTACAATGCTTAACATAATAACAAAATAAGTCTTTTCAAAAGAAGAGAGTAAGAAAGACAGTCCATCAGCCACTTCCCTTCATACATTTATATGCTGAAATCATGTCAGAATGTTTGTCCTAACAAAAAAAGCCTTAATCACTTAAAAAAATTCTATGGAAGTTGGCCGTTGAATGCATCACATGTGCCAGAGTTAAACATGCTTGCACTGTTTTAACAGGGTACCTTTCAGTATAGAACACTGGGGTGAATTCTCCTGTAGAAGCGGACACTTAACTCCCCTCAGCATTAATAGCAGATGTGTTCACACACAGAGTGGAGAATTTCTTTCTCTTTCTTTGCATAGTGCTCTAAAAAGAACTTTGAAGAAACTGAGAAAAACAGAGAGCGCAGTATATTAATTTTAAGGAGATGAAAGCAGTACATGTCATTCCTAAATTTCATGGAAAATGCACAGTTAGTAACAAAGATGAGTAGAAAATTTCAAAATCATTCTGAGCAGCATTAAAATCAGTCTTCCCTGATTTTCTGTTTTCCTCTTCTTTTCAAAGCACATACATTAAACTCATTTTATGCTTATAATATATATAATGATTCTAGACAACATAAGAAGGACACTGGGATTCTTCCTATTTCAACTTATAAAGTGGCAAGCCAATTTATGCAGCTTAAACCATTGCTAAAGAAGATGTATCAAAAATTGCCTGTGATCATTACAAATAACAGCCTGAAATGTTCACAAGAAGCTGTTTGCTTATCATATTTTCATTAAAACATCTTTTCACCTGCTTTGCTTTTCCCATGCCTGTAACCTGCATTGTAATCAGTCTTATTAACTGAGAACATAAATATGATTTATTATGGTCTGATAATGGAAGCTGCATGGACCAAGAGAAGGGATATATTGTCCTTTGATAAAATGGCTCTTTTCTCTCAAATAGAGCTCTATCATGAGAGCACGCAGAATGTAGTGAGTGATTATTTCCTGAGGGTGAATGATGGCAGAACCCTACAGAAAATCTTCTTGTTGGCCATGACAGCCTCTGAGTGTCCCCAAATCTCACTGAGTTTGACAACCTGCAGACACTTTTGATGAACTGTATTCTTCTGTCAGAGACAGCCTGTCTGGGAGGAGAAAAGGGAACCTTTATCGTCGGATCTGCTATTATTGTCTTGATCTTTTATAAGCAATCTCTAATGCACATGAATATAATATCCTTTCAAAGAAGTGCCAAACATAATAGAAATGTAGTTAAAGGACCCTTTTCCCAGTTATGTAAATGTCCTAATACCATAATTAGAAAAGATGGTTTGTGAATGATAGCGGTAAGGAAAGGGTAATCAAAATATTTTAACATTAGCTTTCTGTTTTAAAGACCAAAATCTGTGATAAATAGCATTTATGGTAGATATGGGGAACCAGCTTGTGCTGAAGCTTTTACCTAAAAAGAGAATAGTTTTGAGTGTAAAACTGGTGTTATATTTTCATAAAACACGTAAATGGCAGCTGGTCTTAAGCCAGGAATGATTACTGGCAGATATGACTTAAAGAAAATGAGTATTCCACTCAAAATCCCTCCATGGCTGTTACAGAAAGAACAAAGCGTTATTATTAAGTAGTGTATTTGGACAAAGGGGTGTTCAAGACCAACTAAGTTCGCCAGCAAATCTCTCTTTTATCTACGTCCAGAAGAACAAGCATAACAAAATCTTTTTCAATTAACAGCTGTACACATTAGCAAAACACCCGTCTTTCTCAGCTCAAGCAATCTGGCTTATTTATCACAAAAAATGAAATGTTTGGGGGGGAAGGTTTCCAAGTTCCCCAGTAAAAGCAAGATACTTGATTTTTCATTAACCTTTTGACATCTGGAGCTGGGATGTCCCAATATTAACTACTAATGGTCTTTTGCATTACCAGTTGGTGTTGAGAGAAGTCCCAATTGTCAGAGTCAAAAGGTTAATCAGCAATTTCACACCAGTGATGTGGTCAGAGTTCGCATGTTACTGCCTAAACAGGAAGAAGAAGAAGAAGAAAATAAAGTCATTAGCAGAAAACTACATCCTAACATTACTAAATCCCTCTTCGTTTTTTGTTTGTTTGTTTTCTAGAAAATATTTCATGATCTCTTTACTAAATATCCTGACTTTTTAGAGGACTGTAAACCTTTGTTGACAAGTATAGGTCGAAATATGTGACCAACTTGTTTGGTTTATTCTACTTTTCACAGGAAAAAAAGTAAAATTTTACTTACCCACCAAGTGTTCAGTCCAGGCCACTGTGAGGGAAAAAGTCTTCTCTGTTTGTTACCCATGGAGATTTTAAAAACCTATCCAAATGGGCCTAATTCGGTCTGAGAGTTGTGTCCTGTCTGCTGGAAGTGAAGATACCTGAATGCCCCTTCATTCAGAATGAATTTCATAGTGAAAACATACTTTATCAGAGATAAAGGATATCCAAGAGCAAAAACCTGAGTGTAGACTTTTCCCTCCCACCCCTCTTTTTGTCTTGATTGTAGAAAATAAGTCAACAGCACTATTCCCTTAACAAATATGGACAGCAATCTTATTTCATGTGAAAGTACCCTCATAAACAGCCATGCCAGTACCTCAGCTGGTACCATTTGACCAAGAATAGCCATAGCATACTTTAACTTGGGGCCCAAGAGATCTCCTATCCATAGCAAAACCAGATTTATTTTCTAAAACAAAGCATAAAATATTGCTGACAACATTACAGTTTGGCATTTGCTAACAATAACAATGTTCACACAAAATGACTTCTCATTTGCCCTGGTAATATCTGAAATGGTTAACCATTGTTTGTCTTTTGTTTAGCCCTGATCAAAAACCTTCTGATGTTACCATATTGATCAGGCCAGTTCTATGCTTTTGAGACATTCTATCTTTTCCCTATTTCCAAGACAAACAAGTAGTGAATCTTGCCCAAAACAACAACCTTCATCCTGGATATTTTCTGCATCAGATAGTTCCTCTCATCTCTTTCTCCAGTTTCAGCAAAATCTATGGCTAAAATCTTTCCTATCTTGATCGCCTCAGTTTAAATGGGGACAGGATTTTACCCTGAAATGTTCTGAAAAAAATACCAATCTTTCCAAGTGCCCTATTATTTAGTCCACCAATTAGCTGACTATAGAGCCTGAGTGTCCTTGTACATCATCCCAGTCCCCATCTGTATACTTGGCTGCATATGTTTATGCAATTAGAAATGTTGAAAATCTAATAAAATTAGGACAAACCTGAGTGAGCTGTAATTCTGTTTAATCTCTCAAACTGGATTGTTGAAAGCATGCTGAATTCCCCAAACCTCTCCCAGGTGCCAATGAGTGAGTCAATATCATACCAAAGATCTCACAGCATAGCAGACATAAATTGTACTTCCAGAATCCCATACACACCCTCAAGTAATGAATCTAATGTCTCCAAAGTACTGTCAGGGAAAAAAAAGTTTCCTCCAGTTACGAGCATCGTACTTGGTGGCCCAGAGTGTAAAAAAAGAACACAGGGCAGATTTGCACGGGGAAGGAGTGGTCACTTTAAAGGCCCGTGCCTTCCTATGCTGTATATGTATATATGCACTGGAGCAATCCAAGTCTCCTGCCTTCAAGGGAGGACCACTGACATTAGCACACTCAGCTTTGCTAGATCCTCTTGGCAAGCCCTGAGAAACTCAATATGAAAGGAGAGTGAAGTTTTTTTTTCACCTCAATGTGATGCCTCTCCAGACTTTGCTTTTAAAAGCCTGGTTTGCACTTATTTTTGTAGTGCAAGGGTAACTGGTGGTTTGCGTAGAAATAATCACCAGTCTGAAATAGTCCCAGACCACTTCATACCTGTGTCCTCTCATCACACACCATTCGTGAGAAGTTAGGCAAGGAAATGAAGAATGATTTTGGCTGAAATTAGGAGGAATTGTCCTTGAAATGGAGAACAGAATTATTTAGAGTTGAAGCACAGTGGATCAATTAATAACTCTGTTCTTGGAAGAAAGAGCCTGGGATCTTTTATCTCAAGTTGTGAGGGCTTTGGGGTTGTATCTAAGCCAAACCATGTATTTGTTGCAGGATGGGGCTCTTCAGTATGAGGAAGATAATGTAAGGGTTTTGGCATTGGGTCCATAGGTCAGAAGAAAATGTTGTCTGCAGATCAACCAGTTCCTTTTCTTTTTTTTTCCCCCTATGTATTCATTTTCCTCATAGACTTCATCTCCAAATACGTGCCTTGTTTACTCTTTGAGATCTTAGAGAATTTCAGCAAGGAGGTGACCAGGCCAGAAATAGGTTTCCCAAAAACACACATCTGAGGTTCTGCTCCCACTCATACACTTTGAGATGCTGAGTTCATAGAAAATAGAGCTGGAGGGGATCATCCAACACCTGACAGTATTCCCCTGATTTTTGATTTCTCTGTCATAGAATTACTTCAGTGATAGGTACTTTATCACCACTCAGTCAATTATCCCAACAGATAACTGTCCTTTCCTAAGTGACAAATACAGTCTAGCCATGAGAGAGACCGATTGCTTTCTTAGACATTATGTTTTGCTCAAATACAACTTAAATGTATTTATGCTTTTCATCTTGTTTCTTCTGTTTATTTCTGTTTCTGTTATGAGTCGTTCACTATTTCCTTTTTTAACTTCACCTTTTTCCTACTACCTTACCTACCTACCTTCTACATTAAGTCACTCTCTTTCTTTTTTGTATTCTGAACTATGTGCTCATTGGTACCCTTGTATTTCTTTTCTTCTGTGTGTCTTTCCAAACACGTGAAAAATAAACTTTCATGTGCCATCAGCCTCACTACAGGGACTTACCTCTTATCATTTCCCAGGGGGGAGCTCAAATGCCACATTTTCATTCATTGCATCAGAACCACTTTTCCTAAACAATGAGAAATTAAACAGATGGATTCAAATTCAGGTCTAAAGGTGATGTTCTGGAGGTGTGACTGAAGAGCACAGCTAGCTATGGGAAGCACACGATATGCTCTGAACATGCATATGCAGGGGTAGGCATTATGTAGCCTCTAAAAAGGGAAAGCAGAACTCCTGGCAGTCATGGAAAACAGATGCCTTCTTCCTGCTGACTGTTAGGGTGTTTCATGTACAAAGTGAGTTAGAACACAGGTCTGGACCTGGAGGTTCCAGAACACTAGATTAAGTGACTTTGTCTCAAATTTATGCCAGGGAGAGTACCATCCAAAAGAGTTAAGGTGGAGCATCACCACAGGCAGAAAATTGTTTTACTTTTGTTCCCTCAAGCCAGGCCCACTGCAATATTGTAATGTACATGTAGTACATAAGTACAGTACTGACCCTGGGGCACTGAAGGCTGCTTGGTCTAACAGGTGTTTGGGGATCTCAAGATAATCTCCAAAATTCAGTGCAGCTCAAGATGCAGTCTTTCTTAAAAAACAATTGTTTCAACTTATTCTTATAATTTTTGACAGAAAATTATCAGAGGTGACTACCCCTGCTATGACAGGAAGCAGTATGATAAATATAGAGGAGGACTAAGGAAAGCTTATTCCACACTTAACAGCAGAAAACAAGTTTGTTTTCCAGCACGTCTGTTTCATAGCACATTGTTGCTGCAATATAAATGTTTTGAGCTGCAATATTTTCCTATCTGTGTTGACCAGGGTCTGTGCCTGAAAGTGCTGAGTGCCCTGGTCTGCAGCAAGACTATTGTGGTCACCTGATACAGGAGCAGTTTGTGTTAGCACTGAGGATCCGCAGCAAAGAGGAGATCAGACTGTGCCTCTCCATGGAAAGTCCGAACATAAAGCAGGGAAACTAAACTTGGTCTTGGGAGACAGAGGTTCTTTGTCCCCTGCATGATCTCAGACAACATATTTCCTCTCTCCAAGCCTCATTTTTTCCTCAAAATGGGGACTGACAGCTTCCTGTCTTCTCTCTCTGAGCTTGTCACTCTTTTGGATAGTGGCTGTTCCTGATTATGGGTAGGTCTGATGACTGTGAGTCTGACCTCCAGAAGGCCTCTGGACACTTCTATATTATATTTGATAATGAAGCGTCCTGTCTTAAACAATCAAGACAAAAAAAGTAAGTCAGACCAGAGGAAACTGGCTCAGCACAAAATGGCAGCCTCAATGCAGTGAAGTCAGAGCCATTAGCTATTGACTACTATAGAAATACTGAAACTGCATCAGTGATTTCTTTTTTTAATTGCTATTTAGGGATTTAAATGAGATTTTTAAAAAAAAGAAAGACAGAATGTTTAGTCTACAATCACTCTTTGCTGCCAATACAGGCTATCATATAAATTACTTAGACACTTTTAAAAATACATTATTTACTCAATAACCCATAATGGGTCCAGAGCTCCTTTTACACACTATTATAGAAGTATATAATTGCTGAATTTTCAAATGGATATTTCTTCTAGGCAATAGTCTGTAATGGCTCCTTCAAAGCTCTTAGGCTTTTATCATATGAAGGCCTAAGTAGAAAATGTTTAGTTCACCGATCATTGACCTAATAGAAAGCAACAGCTTTTCTGGAACAACTATTGTCTGTTAGGGCACATGATGTATGAATGACATTTAAAAAAATTCTTGGAAGTATGTGCTAGTGAAGAATTACTGTTCATGTGCAAAGCAAATACTGTTGATGAGATCCTCAGAGTTCTTTTGTTTGGTTCTGCTTGGTTTAGTTTTTTAGCTTCTGTGCAAGCCCAAGAGCAAAAGAAAACAGTTGGTTTTGTGTATGAAATGCGAACTCAGTCTAGGACCCATTTGGATCAATGAGAGACATTTCAATTTTCTCAGAGGTCATTCAGCTCAATTAAAAGTTGTCTCAAATGAAAACACAATGTAAGAAGCTGAATTCTGAAATCAGCGAAGTAAGGGAATGCTGAAATGGGGCAAATCACATTTCTTATAGTCATGCAGAATACTGAAAAACCTGCAGGCCCATCCTGAGCTTGATCTAGAACAGAAATAGGCAACTTGACACTTTTTCAGCACTATTGCTATGAATCTCACAATTACTAAACTGCTGTTCTCTACTTATATTTAGCTTTGAAGTCTGCTGTTTCCATTTCAGACGTAAAGAAAGGTTCAGGTTCCTAAAAGCTTGGTGTAAGAAAACACATTTTCTGTCCCTACACTCTTTGGGCAGTAAAGTCCTTGGCAGTACTGCCAAATAAATGTCAGCTAGGTCTAAGTGCAGGACTAGTGAGACTGAATGTGAGCTGGGAGCAGTCAGGCAGAGACCCTCAGAGAGGCTGAAGGACACCTCCAGCTCTGAGCCTGATGGACCAAGGGAGAGGTCCTTGCTGTGTGGCACAACCCCCTCACAGACTTGGGGCCAACAGGACATGC